AAGATTTGTACTTAAATCAGCTAATAGTATGTCCTGAAAATGTTGTTTGATGAAACACTTTTCCATAGATCATTCTAAATTGCTATTTTTACTACTGTACTTAAGTCCCTGTTATGGGGATAAGCAAACTCCATACAAACAGAAAACCAAAGTTAGTGGCTTCCCCAGGAGGTTCACAGATTTCTGTACCTTTGGGGTTGATGGGTAAAGCAGTATAAGGGTGAATGGACAGAGACAGATCCACGCAAAGGAAAGAGTGGTTACCATGACAGGCATTGATCTCAACGCCAGCTGTTTCACTGCCAATGAAGGAGAGGTTAATGGAAGGTCTCCAGAAAGACTAAATAAGACATTTACCAGTAAAAGGAATAGCTTGACAGAAGACACCACACACCTTGAAATACAAGAGTCAAAAAGCCAAACGGAGAATTAGATTTCCAAGGAGAAGACATCTCCTGCAGGCAGCAGTGAGAAGGGGAAGGGTGCCTCACTGCAAAGAGAACACTGCACTCTTCTGATCAGAGAAATCTTCTCTGTATGCCTTCCTTCTGCATTTCTGATACAAAACCCTGCCAGGCTAAGGCCACAGCCTTTATAGCACATGAGAGAAGACAGAAGCAGAAAATCCCATTAAAGAAGGGAACAAATGCCAGCTGTGCAGATGTATTTAGTGCTCCTCCTCAGTCTGTGTACTACAGCATGTGTCTTACTTTTACCTGTGGTAGCATTCATTCTCTTCCTAAAAGCTGGTACAGTGTTGTGGTTTGGAATTAGGATGAGAATAATGTTGATAACATTGATGGTTTTGATGTTACTAAGCAGTGTTAACATTAAACCAAAGCCTTTTCTGCTATTTATCCCACCCCTCCAGCAAGGAGGCTAGGGGGGTGCACAAGAAACCAGAAAGCGACACAGCCAGGACAGCTGACCCAAACTCATCTATGAGATATGCCATACCATAAGATGTCATGCTAAGCATACAAACTGGCAGAAAAGCTGACCAGGGACTGCTGCTCAAGGGATTGTCTGGGCATCATTTGGCAGGTGGTGGGCAACTGCATTGTCATCACTTTTTCTGTATGTTCTAAATTATTATTCCTTCCTTCCTTTTCTGCTCTATTAAACTATCTTTATCTCAATGCACAAATTTGATTTGTTTCTTTTCCTAATTCTCTCCCTCATCCCACCAGGGGATGTGTGATGTTGAGTTAAAACACAATGATCCTTTCTGGCACCCAACATGGGGCACCCTTTGTTGAGATAACAACAGATCTGTCCAGAGAGTACTAAAACAAATTTGCTGTAAGCATTCATCATATCAGTTTAATAGTCACTGCCACTGCTTCCCTCTGAGGAAGAGGGCCAAATTTTGCCATCTCATGAATTTTGAGACTGCTTAGTAGAGAGACTTACTTCAAACTTAAAGCCGCTATCCTTGCCTTATCCCACCCTCTTTAGCTAAACCATATACTAAGCATAATGTGAAAGGGTATTTAATCCCTAGGATCAGATATAATCATCCCTACTCTGTTATGAGAACGGACAAAGCTTTTCAGAGCTTTGCCTTTGGTTATCACAGAATAATAGAAGAGTAGGGGCAAAAAGAAAGAAAATGAAATCAACAAACGGATAGCAATAATGACAGCCCTGAACCCTGAAAAATCATCCGTCATTCTGTGTAAGGATCACAGTGTTTGAATTGCATCTTAATTGCTTTGTGAGCTTCCAAGGTGCCTTTAGGACATATTTAATGCTATCTGATTATAAGGAGAAATACTAAATACCATAAGACCAATGATAAAACTGGATACACTGAAAAACTACAGGGTTTGCATGTCTAATAGCTTATTTTCTTACTAGAGACAAGAATCTTCCTTCTTCCATCAGAACTGAAGTTTACATAACCCTGGGCTCACATTTCTATTTGTAAACATCCATTTGGTTTAGAGATGAGGCAAAACCTATTTTCCCCTCTGTTAATGGGACATAAGGAGCATCAGTTACAGAACTCAGGAGAGCAGGTTTTCCCTCTAACTGAGGCTTTGACAACAATTTTAGACTGACAAAGTTTTCCTGGAGCTTGATGTTGTTTTCTCTTTTAGTAATCTTTACACTTAATGAATATGATGTTTACTCACACAATTAAGAGATTCTTGCACAGTGATAAAGGTGTCAGAATTGAGATCAGAAGCTAAAAAGATACAAGCTATATTAGACAGTCTGGGTCCTCAAAAGACAGCAATGTACCACAAAGCTTGAAAAACACTTGACGAAAGACAAGAAAACTAGGATAAACAGAATAAACCCAGAAAATTGGGGACAGAAACAAACAGGAAAACCAAATAACTTAACCCTGAAACCCAAAACCAGTTTTGTTCTCATCTGAGCCTGTCCTTCTGCTCCTCACTCCACTTCAGAGTCCCTGCTCATAAGAGCAGCAGGATGTAGTGCAACTCCCAGCCCATGCTGTCCTTCATCAGAGGATATTTGTGTTTCAATGAAGTCAGCCTGTACCTCATCCAGCATTCACCTCCCCAGGCCAGCTTCCTCTCTATTCCCCCTTAATGTGATTGTATAAAATATGCAGCCAGGTTGCCTTTTTCTCATTAAGGAATTAAGTATGAATAAAAATCCATTAACTCCTACCTATCAGCCTTCCATAGATAGTTTAGAAACAGCTCATGAAGGCTATATAAAAGGATTAAAACAATAGAAATTGGAATTCAGAATTGAGTTCATTCAGAAACATCCAGCTACGCAGATCTATTTGCACAAGAAAGATTTCTGATATTAATAAGGCATCAACACATGTAAATTCTTAGTATTAAGTTGCTCTGGAAAAGATAAATTATAAGAGATACGCAAGATAAAATTCCAAAATGCCCCTTAACTCAAGGTCATAAAGAGGAGGAATCACTACCTCCCGATAAAAGAAAACCAAATCAAACAAGTTGGTGACATGTTCTGAAAAGGTGAACATTTTCTCTTTACTCAAATGATTTTTGCAACTGCAAAGATCCAAAGGTTTTTTGTGTCTAAGCTAATAAAGTACTAAAAAAAGCTCCAAACTCTTTCTCAAGGTCTAAATAATCTCACTTTTGCAATTCAGAGGTAAATTCAATGTTTACAATATTCAATTACTCTCCAGACAGCCGACAGAGCTAATAACATCTCAGCTGGGCAAATGGAAAAGAGGAAAAAGGTTAACACCAGCCACAGTTGCTGTCACCAGCCTGTGCTGCAAAAACCAGGAGGTGGTTCCAGAGTTGTTTCTTACTCTGATGGCCATTTAGTCACACTGAGTAAGCAGAAGTAAACTCAGACAGCTGAAACAGCAGCATTGTTCATCTGCAGCCATCCACTCCCTGCACTTCAGAGCGTGTCATCATCACAGAAGGGCCATAAGGAGCTTTTAAACTGACATCTTCAACCAATTGAAAGTAAAAATCAGTGGTGGCATTTGGCTTGGACTGTGAGAGTAACACTTGCAGTGAGTGATCACTTAAAAAGGAGAATTGGATGTTTAAATTAATGCTCAAAAAAGCCAAAGTATTCTTCAAAATCGGTGCTGCTGACCGTTTGGAACCAGGCCTGTACAGAGGTTGTACAGGTCAAATGAAAGAAACTGTGCATCAGGAGTATCTGTTTGGCTAGCTGGGTTACAGCAAGTAGAAGATTTTAGTAAATGCCCATTTATAGAGTCCCCCAGGTCTTGTATAAGTAGAACCCATCAGATGTGCTCCAATCTCACAGGTTATGAAACAAATGGTACCTTGATTCATACAGTTGAAGAAACTTAGCAGGACAATAGGCTGTAACAACTTTCCTAGTCTTTCCTTCCAAAGCATAATGGCAGTAGTTTTTCTACAGATTCCCCAACATTAAGGGTGTAGCTATCCAAACAACTTTATAACACTGTTGGGACACCTGTCTAAACACTGATAAAGGTTTATTTAATGCAGTGTTTATTCTCCTTGCAACAGAGATATCCATTTGAAATACATTCAGAACATCAAACAAAGCACAGACAATAGAAAACAAAGACAAATCACCGTACAAAGTACCAAAATCATCTTAATCTACTTCCTACACCAAAGTTGTGACAGCAGTGATAAGCAAAGTACATTAAATTAAACCCCAACAGATTTTGTTGCTACAGGTTAGAAAATGGGAAAAAGAATATTCAATTGGACCTTACAGTTTTTCACCTTCAGCATGCTAAAAGTTAATTCTGTATTTTTAAGGATAAGTATAAATGATGCCTATAACTAAGGGAGGTTCATTCCATCAGAGGTCACTGACAGCACGGTATACAGATTGGCCTATCTCAACCTCCATACTAGAAATGCCAATGTCAAACTTAATTGTACTTACTTGCAGTGAAACAAATGCATTATAACATGCTGCCATACTATGTTAACAGATCTGAAGTTTTATAGTGTCATTCCATTATACTGCATCTTAAATTTAATACTGTGCAATACAACAATATTATGTATCTATGAGGTCTCCACGCAGCCTTCTCTTCTCCAGGCTGAACAGCCCCACCTTTCTCAGCCTGTCTTCATACAGGAGGTGCTCCAGTCCCCTGATCATCCTCGTGGCCTCCTCTGGACTTGTTCCAACAGTTCCATGTCCTTTTTATGTTGAGGACACCGGAACTGCACACAATACTCGAGGTGAGGTCTCACAAGAGCAGAGCAGAGGGACAGGATCACCTCCTTCGACCTGCTGGTCACACTCCTTTTGATGAGGCCCAGGACACGGTTGCTTTCTGGGCTGCAAGCGCACACTGAAGCCAGCTCATGTTCATTTTCACATCGACCAACACCCCTAAGTCCTTCTCCTCATATCCCTGAATACCACACAAAGCCAGCAGGTCTCCAAGGTGAAGCAGAGGACCAAGTTGGCAGACACTGCTCCATCAGCCTGAAGGCTGCTGTACCTTAATCTGATTACAGGTGGAAAATAACATGCAAGCCTCTGTGGCATAAACTCACCCTTGACTTCTACAACACAGGGCTGAGCAGTAGTGCAGCAGTATTTTGACACACAGATCCACTGTTTGCAGACAGGAACATTATAAGTAGGACACGCACAGTCCCACTGAGCATGGGAATTGATCCCGTTCTCCCTTCTTTCCTTTGCTCATAGCTGCCAGTTTTCTTCCACCTCTGTTTTCTGTGGAGAAAGTCAGAGGAGTTAAATCAGTACGCAGGATAAGGAAACAAAGGCCAATCACTATAATTCTCACTGGAAGCCAGGTAGGAAGACTCAGAGCCTAACAATGAGGGGGAAAAAATAGGTTAAAAAGAAAAGCAATCTCCTCAGACTGGAAGAATGCCATGCTGCAGAAGGCAAAAACAAGTGCTTGAAGCTGCATTTCAAATCCATGGGTGGCTGTTTTCTCAAAATAGTGTTTCGAGAACTGAAGAGATTCTTCTTAAATTATCAAACTGATTTCAGGTAAGGTCCTTCTGAAGACCATTGAGAAGCTGTTACACCCCATAACAAATCCAGCCTTTCAATGAGAGAGGAGAAAGACAAGCACTCTCCACCCCAGCAACATTTGGCACTTCCTCACTCCATGCCAAACTGGGCTTTAAATTCAAATCCCAGGAGCTTTGGGAGATTTAACTCCCAAAAGAAGAAAAAGAGAAAAGAGGCTGTCGGTAAGAACTCTCACTACTGGAAAGACATCAATCTGCCCTGAACTTTGAGCAAAACAGTTTCTCCAACTCAAGGACATGCCTATTGACTGCTGTTGGATGCCTCTGACACTTGAGCCTCTGAAGTACGAAGCCTTGGCGCACATGAAGGCTGCCAAATTGAGGCTACTAACTTGATAAACTTCAGTAAGGGAAGCACAATGTGCTTCAAAGACCAAAGGCAGCTCTAAGGCAAGTCCAGGCCTGCTGTTCCATTTTCATCTGGACTGAAGCTTTAGTCTGGCCTCATCCAATAACTCATGATCAGCATCTTTAAAATTCAATTAGAAACGAAGATAAAGCTGTAAGATAAGTACAGACATACCCAAAGCTGCAGTCTTTTCTATTTGCCTTTTTTCAGCTAATAGTTCGGTCATTACAGAGTCAGACTACTTAAACAGCTTTTAAATTGTGCAGGACTTTGAAGCCTTTAGGTCACACAGAACAGCTGTAGCAGACAAAGTCTGGCAGTTTATAATTATCTTTTGGGGTTTCTCTTACAGATGATTATATAAGATCTTCTTTTACAGTTCAACTAATTAACACAACCTACTTCATCCATTAATGTCTCCGATACCCTGGCCTCAGCCCCGCAAGGGAGTCCCTATAGACATGGAGAAGCAGAGGAGATCAGAAGGCTCCAGTTACTTTAGAATACCTTGCAAAATCTCCCATTACTTTCATCACTGTTTGGCTGAACATCTTGGTACAAGGCCAAGGCAGCAGTTAAGTGCACATTGCTATTTAAAAGCATAGGAATAACCAGACTGAAATTAAACAAAACCACTAATCCAGTAAGTGCAAAAGCAGAGCTGTACCTTGGACACTGCCACATTTCATCTCAGCGGAGAAACAGAGTTTCATTTTCACAGATTAAATAACTTCAAACTCTGGAAAAGTCTGAAGTCCAGATCTAAGGATGAACAGCAAGCAGAGATTTCTTTTTGGTTTCTATGGAAGAAATTCTTTCAGTTTTACTTGTAAAACTGGCTAAACCCACAACACAGACTTTTCTACTTGAAGACTGCTCCACATGCACAGACACTGTAGTCTAAGGACAAGTACTACTCTGTTGAGTGGCCATGAAAACCCATTAAATGAAACAACTATATTAAGAAAATAAGTCTGCAATTTTATTACCTGTTCTGAGGCAGACATGATGATCTGAGGCTGGAAGATTTATACACACAGTATATTTTATTAGATCAACTGCTGGAACTGGGGAGAAAAAAAGTTCTCAGACAGACAAGCCATGAAGACAGTTGTCCCCATTACAGCAGCCAGTTTTACAAGATATATTGCCTCTTACCATAAGCCTTCCTTCTCTGTAATTCTAGTCATTGCTAATGCAAAAGCTTTAAGTACTCCTGCTTTTCTTTTTTTTTAGTTTTATTCTTTTCTGAGAAGAAGCTACACCTCAGCTACACAAGAACCTCAATATAATGAAGGCTTCTGGAGCACATCAGCCACTTAAACCCAGCCCTGATACTAGCACTCACTGTTCACGTCACTGCTGCCTCCAGCCACGCAAGCGGGAGGACGCCGTTGCCTCCAGCGTGGTGTGATGAGCGCACTGCTGCTCTTGTTCCTGCAGCTTCCCACAGCTCAGCTTCAGCCACCAGAAAAGCCTGTAAATATCCTATTGATTTCAAGAGAGCTGCGCCCAAGTCTGTCTCATTGCAATTCCTGAATTTCTGGGTTGTTCCTTCCCATATGTGTAGTGCCAAGATGCTTTGCCTTAAGCAGCAGTGCAATAACCTCCCAGCTGACAGGGGATGTGTATCTTGCTCAGCTAAGCCGAAGGTTCACTTAAAAATACCCTTTTGTGACCTTGATGCAGATTTAATCTGTCATTGTACACTCACGTAAGCTCCAGTCTTGTCTTTTTGCAGTCCTGTCCTAAAAAAGTCAACTAGATAGCTTTTCATTCACTTGCAACATATTGAGTGACCTTGGCAACAGTCTAATCTATCTTGGCAGATTCAAGATAGAGAAAACAAGCAATAGAGACAGACCCGCTGGTTTCTGCTATTGATCAGCAACTTGAGTGAAAGCTCATTATGAGCAGAGGGATAGTGTCAGGTACACGTTCTCCTACAGAGCAACAGCAAGATGAAAAAACTCCACCAGAGAAAAGATGGTCATGCTTTGGGTGGAGGGCAAGGGTATGGCTGTGGAAGGAAGAAAAGGGCAAGGGTAGGAGGAGCAGACAGTACTTCATGTCTAGTGAGAAACTCCAAATTAAGTAAACTCAATTTACTTAACTAAAAAGTTAAAAAACATTTATTGAGAAATTAGGAAACTTACATTGACAAACTTTACAACAAGAGGCCGAACTCTTTAAGAAAATACTGTTTCTTAGTGTGGAAATGTACGCAAAAAAATACTAACATATATACACACATTAAGTAATATACTATTTAGAGTATTCCTTCTGCTACTCACTCAACTAGATGATCTAACAATGCAAGAACAGTGGAATGAATTCCTATTATTTCACTGACAATCAGTGTGTAATGCTGAGCTTATTGATATGATCTTTGAATAGCACTGCCTCGCCTCAAGACAGGTCTTTTTTTATCTCAGGACAATTACTCTGTACTGTCTACTGAAGCACATCTACTGTGACCTAGTGCATCTCCTCCAGCCTCATCAAAGCACAGGCTGGCAATCATGCCACACTGTGTCACTTCTATTATCCTCTTTCCTTGGACTGCCTTTGTGCCCCAGGATGAGCAAAGATAGAGGAAACTACTTGCCTGTCTCTATTTTACAGGGGGAAACATAGTCAGCACTCCTTTCACAGGATGCCCCAAACAAAACCCTGCTTGGTCACCAGGAGAGACTGCACCCAAGTCTCACCCACCCCTAAGACTACAATTGGGCACTGAGGAGTATTTGCTCTTGTGAGGGAGCTGATCCCAGGGTAAGAGCCAGAAGGATTCTGAGGGCTCTCAAAACTCCTCCTCACAGCAGGAGGTGGTTCAGATGGCCAGCACTACAGTCCAAGCTCCTATCCTTGGCTTCAGCCTCAGAGTTAAAGCCACACTCACATTTCAGTGGTGCTGCACTCTTCAAGTATGTCTTAAGATTGGTAAGAAAATACAGCCATGATTCCTCTTACTGCAGGGTCACTTATCTTACAGGCTCCACAGGTCAAACCTCTGTGTTGTAGTGGATCATTCTGTCAAAACTTCACATAACTATCAGATAGTAAGCTGAGCTACATGAAAAGGAAAATTTCCAGCATCCAGCTGAGAAGAGGAATATATGACATTGAAGGATGTTTATTGCTTACAAACTTCACACTAGGTGAGAACATTACAAGGGTAGAGGAAAACATACAATGAAGTAATTGAAAACAACCAGGAGTACGTACAAACAGGGAGGGGGAAATGATAGCACAGACAAATCCTACATATGAAGTCTGATTTCTCTCACATTCCTCAGTTTTGGAAGTCTTATACTAGCTCATTTTACTGTGCTTGTGTGGTCTCCTTTAAAACATCTGCTAGGTCAAAGACAGACTCACCACTCTCCCTCCAATTATATATCCAAAGAGAGGCAAAAACCCTCTAGATAAAAATTATACAGAGCAAGACATCAAAAGGAGAAAAATCACGTAGCTGAACTCTGGGGAGAGATATCAAGCAAGCGAGTGAGCAGTCATGCACTGTGTGTGCAGCTGATCCACCACAGTAAATGTCAGCTTCACTAAAGGTCACCGGCTGCATTGATTCCTCAACTCTTTAATGTAGGCAATTCTGTACAGCAACTCTTTTCATGAGGCATCAGACAGCCGAACAATTTAGCATACTTATGGAGGGAGGGGACAGGGACAGAGAGCAAAACATGCTATTTAACTTGCTGTACTACACACGGGTAGAGATGACATCAAGCCATAAACACATTCATATATAGCAGAACAAAATGCATTACCAACTCACAGTGCAATCAATCCAACATACCAGTGATCTTCTACCACACGATGGCCATTATCTTCATAAAACACACTTTGCTACAGAAAGATCTCACTGTCATTCAATGCAACACAGGGGTTTCAGAGTAATGTCAAGTTTTTAAGCCTTTATTGCTCTTCACTGCCTTCCAGTTTAGTACCTGATGTCAGCCAATACAGCCACTTTGAAAACCACTTACCATTTACCTCCCCATCAACAGCAGGTAATAAAACGTGTCCCAGGAGGTGTGTTAGAAATATAGCAACAAAGACAGGCCATGAAGGACCTGCTAGACCAGCTAATCTCATCAGAGGTCAACACTGCAACAGCAACTAACTGTGGATATTGATACTGTGACAAACTAGTAGCCATTTCAAGCTTTCCAGATGAAAAAGAAGGAAGTCACTGAGTTACTCTTTGTGGCTGCAAACTTTTGATTTCCATGCATCCAGAAAGAGACTTATTGACAAATCCCATTTCTGAGCTACATTACCTGGAAAAAGAAAATAAAAGT